CACCTCCTTGGTATGAAACTGACACTTCTCCAGTTTCACCCACAGCTGGTTGGCTTGCAGCCTGCTCAACACTTCTCTGACGTCTCTCACATGCTGCTCCTCATTCTCAGAATACACCAACACGTCGTCTAAGAAGGCCACACAATTCTTGTAAAGCAACGGCCCCAGGACGTGGTTCATAAACGATTGAAATGTTGCGGAGCCTGCTTGTAGACCGAAGGGCATAACTAAGTATTCAAATGCCCCTAAAGGGGTGAACATGGTGGTTTTCCATTCATCCCCCTTCCTTATTCGTATCAGGTTGTACGCCCCCCTTAGATCCAGCTTGGTAAAAATCTTTCCCTTCCGCACCCTTGTCAAAATGTCGTCAATCCTGGGCATCGGGAAGGCCACTGGTTCTGACACTGCATTTAAGGCCCTGAAGTCACACACCAGTCTCGGCTTGTTCGTGTTTTTGTCCACAAAAACACTGGGCTGCGCCCCACCGCCCTGGACTCTCTGATGAACCCTCTCTTCAGGTTCTTGTCAATGAACTCTCTTAGCTCCTGCATCTCTCTGTCTGACATGGCGTACAGCTTGCCCACAGGGAGCTGTGCCCCAGGGAGCAAATTGATTTGACAGTCAAAGGCTCTATGCGGTGGTAGTTGGTCAGCTTCCCTTTCGCTGAAGACGTCGCGGAGATCTGCGTATTGTCGTGGTACCTTCACGTTCTCCGTCACTTCAGTCCCTGCTAGAGTGGCGTGGGCCCCTGCCAAAACCCTTCCCTCTAGGCAATGTTCTAAGCAATGTGCTGACCCAAAAGAAACCACTCTTTGATGCCAGCCCACCAGCGGATCATGTAACGCTAGCCAGCTCATCCCCAATATAATGGGAGCTCCTCCCAAGGTGGCCACATTAAATGCTATTAGTTCGGTGTGCCTTGCCACCTTCATTATCATTGGGACGGTCTGCAAGCTGACTTCTCCTCCCAACAGCTCCCTGCCATCGATCGTGGTTACCTGCAGGGGGTTGCTTAAAGGGAGCGTCTGTATCTGGTGTTCAGCTGCAAACTCTTTGCTCATGAAATTGCAGGAGCTGCCTGAGTCCAACAGCGCCTTTATCTTTAGAGGGTGTCCGTTTGGCAGCTCTAGTGTCACTTCTATCACTAGGGCGGGTTTAGGAGGTTCTGGAGTGGGCACTTTCACTGCTCTTTGGCCTGGCTGCTGTGCCCCGACAATGGCAGCCAGGCGTTGGCTTTTAGTTGCTCCGGTATTTTTCCTCTCTTCCCTCCACAGCTCCCACCATCCCTTGCCATTCCTTCCTCTGGGGGCAGACTCTGGCAAAGTGCCCTGGCTGTTGGCAGAGATAGCATTTCCGGGCGCCTTTTCCATCCTTCTTCCCCCCTCACTGGGCTTTGAAACTGCGCGCGCGCGCGCTGTTCCGATTTCCATCGGCTCTGCCGGCGGGACAGTTGGCTCTGGAATGTCTGGAATGCGGAACTCCTTCCAACGTTCCCCTTTCCCTTCCCGCCTCTCCAATGCTCTCGCCTCCTGGCGCGCTCCTATGGCCAGCGCTGATTTGGTCAGCTGGTCCATAGACTCCGCCCTGGGCGCCCGGGAAAGTTCATCTTTCACAGCCGAAGAAAGCCCTTCTTCAAAGAGCATTTGAATGGGTTCCGCCGATAAGTCCCACCCCAATCTGTGTATCAGCATGGTGAACTCAGTCCAGTACTCACGTACAGATCGGCTCCCCTGTTTGCAAGCCATTAACTGTCTGCGCACCACTCCCTTTTCAATATCGCTGGAAAACATCAGATCCATGGCGCGAAAGAACTTCATCGTGTCCTTTAGGACGTCACTATGCGCTGCCATCAGGGGTCTCACCCAGTCTCTCGCCCCCTTTTCAAGATGCCCAATCACAAAAGCCACTCGTGATTCCTCATCAGGGAATCATCAAACTGCAGATTGAGGGCATATTGCATTTCTGTCCGAAAGCTATGATAGTCTTTGGGCTCCCCCCCAAATTTCTGCACCAATCCTGGTACCTTTCTGGCGAGCTGGGTGGCTTTCTCCCGTTTGTCTGCATCTTGAGCCCTCCTCTCCTCCAGCCTCGCCGTCTGCAGCGCCAGCTGGACCTCCAACACCCGGTACCTTTCTTCCAGGCTTGGACCCGCTCCAGCCCCTGCTTCTCCGGTTCCTGCTGGGTTGCTCATTATGCCTTCTCCTGCACAAGCTGCGTTCCGCGACTGTCGGAATGCTGTGATGGGATTATGAGCTGCTTGTGCGTAAAATCGTATTCCCTCAGAGTTTGTTCAAGTCCACAAACCTCTGTCTGTGACTGAGCCCCTCTGACATGGCTCCTCTAGTCACTAGAAGATTCCGACAGTGGTTGCTTTCGTAATCGCTTCCAACATAAAAGCTCCTTAACGGAAACACGTCTTCTGGACTCTCTGCGTGACAGTTTCCGGCGAGGAGTGGGTGTCGCTACAGGAGGTCCGGAAACCTCACCACTGTTTTCGCTGGAAGTATCTCTGAGCCATCCCCCCAGCTCCCTTTCCCTCAGTTCAGCTTCTCTCCCCCTGCTGGTTTCCTCTTCCGCTGCTGAGTCTCTTCCAACCTGTCTGAGCCCTTTCACCTCCCTCAGTTCAGCTTCTCTCCCCTTGCTGGTTCCCTCTTCAGCTGCTGAATCTCTTCCAACCTGTCTGAGTCCTTTCACCTCCCTTCCTTCCGATGGCAGTTCCCTGACACTGGGTGCAGTACTGTGTCTAATATTTCAGATTTAAACTGCAGAATGGAAGGAAAGGAGGACCTTTTTCTGCCTTCCCACTTCTAGCTACTCTCTGAAGACTGAAGAAGAAACCGTCTTAAGAATATTAGGGGAGTGAGCAGGGGAAGGACTAGACCATGTGAAAAATGAACACAATATTTTAGCTGCAGTTCATTCATTTTCAGCTTTGTATTCTTGTTATAAAAAAAGTACCTAGACATTCTGTTGTTGTGCCCATAACCTAGGTTTAAAGTGCTATTTAGTTCCTAGCTTTCATATCTCAGTTTCTAACACTGGTGCAACCAGTGTTACAGATAAATTCGAACCACATGTTACAGGTAAATTACATTTATAGGTAAATTCAAACCACATGTTATGGACAACAAGTAAAGGGTATCGGAAGAAGATATGCCAGCTCACTTCGCAAAAATTCAGGACAATTTAGATAGGCTCTGCATAGATTATGCGAAATTGGTGCTTCTTTATGTCAATACCACCAAAGGTGGTCAGCACCTTGGTCTACTGATCTGAAAAAAGCCCAGATTAATACTCCCACTACACCTTGGGTTTTGCAAGGAGGCAGATTAAGAGATTTATAAAACAAGGACTTGGGGATTCTGGGTCAGGTCAGGATTCCCATAAGCAGCATGCTAGGATTAAGAAAGATAAATCTAGAATATTTGTGTGTGTTTCTAGTTGAAAGTTCAGGTGCAGTTTTCAAAACTGTTTCTATATTAACTGAGATTACCGTATTTTAAAACCAAGGTTATGTTGGCAACTGTTAAATAAAGTATATATCAACCAAGGTTTTTATTTTTCTTCTTTTACTTAACTAGCACTCTCGCTAGCTGCTGAAGTAACTACATTTGACCTAAATTCTATATTCTCAGCATTATATTCTAATTCCCACCATCCCTAAAGAGTGCATTATACTGGAAATCCGCTTTAATAATGTGCACTGTCTAATAGGTTGCAGGGAATGAAATTATTCACACTGTGGGCAATTTTCCTGTTACTAGCAAATAGCAAACTAATTAGCAACTTGACTAGCATAAGCTGCAGTGGTTCAGGGCAGTGTGACACAAGCTCGTTTCTGATGAGAAGGGTAGAGTAGATATTTCTGCCCAGCAACTTAGGGACCGCAGCCCTTCATTATTATCACTTATGTTTGCCACTTTGCGCTGGTCTCTAGAAAACAGATTGGATGCAGAAAGAGGCATCATGCATAGAAAGGGCTGCAGGGCCCAGCCGTGAGTTTGTCTTGGTCCTTGGCCCTACCATAACATGCATGTGTTAGGTGTGGATGTCTGCAAGGGAAACCAAGTTGCGCATGGAAACAGCTTTCATAGAGGTCTACCCATGTAAGCTGTCGCCTGCAGGCATCAACAGTTAACATAGAATGGGGCCAGGGGAAGCTGCACAACCCTGAGGTGGACTTTAGTAGCATAAGTCCTTTCTACGTGTAAAACACATAGGAAGCTGCCTTCATACTAGTGGTCCATCTACCTTCATATGGTCTACGCTAGCTGGCAGCTGCTCTCCAAAGGGCATTACCAGGCTTATCTGGAGATACTGGGGTATGAAACTGGGACCTACTGCATGCAAAGCAGAGAGCTGTAGCCCTTCCCCTATGATTCACGTGCAAAGGGGGTACGAAAGGCCTGTAGCAAAACTGTTGGTGTTCTTACCTTCAATCAAGATGGATATCATACTGCAGCTTTTAAGGCCACTTACACCAGTGCAGTCTCAGTGAACACCCAGTGAAATCTTTCTGTAATGTGGTCTGATTATTGCAATGTAAAGGAAGAAATACTGTAGTTTAGTTTTGGTGCTAGAGTCTCTGCAGTGCATTTGTAGGCTCTGGTTCTGATGCTCTTCCTGGTCAGATAGGAGTATAACTACTAAGTCAAAGGAAGTTGCTCTGATCAGTTGAACAGAGAAGTCAGAGCTATATGCCTTGCTTAACTTATAAAATGAGAATAAAATGAGCATTAGTGGTTCCCTCCATCCTGAAATCATTATGGCCTTTTTTTTATATTGGAGGCTTACTGTAATTACTCCTGATTGCAATTAAAAAGAGAATCTCATCTAGCTATGAATATGTTATAATTTTAAACAGAGAAGAGCTATTTAAACAATTCAGTTCTTTGAAAACTTGGAATATAATGAAAGGCAATAAAACATGCAAAAGGAAAGGTTTTTTTCTACCTAAGAACACAGTTGAAAGTTACTGCATGCTTTTATTTTTAATTAACAATAGGAAGGTGACCGCCTGAGTGATGAAGACCTGTATAAGTTTCTTGCGGATATGAGAAGGCCATCTTCTGTTCTACGGAGGTTGAGGCCTATCACAGGTATTTTGGTGATCTTTCTGAGAAGGCTGAGGCCTTTTTTTAGTTTAGTAGCCACTGATACCTTGAATGGCTTCAATTTTGTTTCTGTATCTGTTTAAGTATTTTGTTCTTCAGTAAGAGTACTGTATGTGGGTCCAGTAAACCATTTTATAACACATGAGTAGCTTCCATGAGATTCAAACATTGGACAGAGAACTAATTCCTTATTTTTCCATAGCTTATCAGTGCTGAACTAGAAAAGTAATATTACAAATTAATCTTGTTTTCTCCCACTATTCCTCTGAAACTGTTGTTTATGTGGCTGGCTCCCTTGGTTTTTTTGGATCTGAACGACTCAGATTTCGGCCCCCAGGAGGAACAAAGTCTGAGAGGCCTTATGAGTCATTCTTGATAGCAGCAATTATTTTTCCAACAATGCCTTAAGCAAGTAAAACCTCTTCTGGAGATTGACAACCCTAACCTTCCAGTATATTATTTGCTGTTGCGCCAAATTCCTTCTTTTGGAAAAGAATTGTAAATATTTACTTTCTTGCCTTTTGACTATTAAACTCAAATAGGTATTACAAGTAAAGCCCCCAAACTGATCAGATCTTAAAACAATTTTACTAACCTTTTGACACAAGGCTGGAAAGTTGTTTCTCCTCTTCTTTCTGACTTAGCACCTGGCCGTGGCAGGCTGGCAGATAGACCAGTGATCAGACAGGCTGCCAGTGGACTGGTGATCAGACTCAAGATAAGGCAGCTACCTATGTTCCTATTAAAACATACATGAGCAAGTGGTCTTTCAGAAAGCGAAACTCTTACTTTTTTTAATGCAGAACAAGAAAATATTTAATGGCACGCTTTTAAAATATATAAATAAAAAGAAGGGTGTTAAACATTATTTTCTTGTTTTCCAAAGCAGTAGCTCTACTTACTAACTAGAAGCATATTTTTAAGTGATTAAGCAGCAACATTGTTATGTTAACACTACACACACAAACGATAACACTATATCACTATATTATCCCAACACTGCTACTATATCATGATGCCTGCCTACCTATGCAAAGCAACATTAGAACTTGGTGGCTAAAAGGGGGGAAAGGACCATATTTTGTAAAGTTTTCCTGATTCACCACCTGGTGATGATTGTTATTCATCATGGGCAGCCAGGCAAATGGTTGCTTACCAGATTGGTTATACTGCTAATTTTTCTTCATAGCTCAATTGAAGATAGACATTTCTCCAGCCCCAGAAAACCCACATTACTGTCTAACGCCAGAGTTGCTGCAAGTCAAACTTTACCCTGATAGCAGAGTACGACCAACAAGAGAGATCCTGGAGTTTCCTGCAAGGGATGTTTATATTCCAAATACAACATACAGGTAAGAGTGGAATTTAGATTTTAATTAGTTCACACAGTGCATGGTGCTCTCTTTCATCCAGATGCAGTGATTGAGGCAGATCACACAGAGATTGATGAGTCTGTTCAGGATAATCACACTTTCAGTAATCAGGTAATTGCTCAGAGAACAAAGAGTCTTCAGGGGAAGCTTTTTAATTTCTCGTTTAGTAAATCCACAATAGCCTGTATCCTCTGGATTTTGTTTTCATATTTCTGGAAGCTGATTAGAGTCACCAGTTCTTAGTTTAGTGCATATTCAGAGGATTACATAAGATATACTAGTTGGTTGTTATCCTGTTGTTCATACAATCCGGTAAAAAATAAAATAAATGTCGATGCCCTAAGTCTTTCAATTCCTATTTCTAGGAATGTTCTCCTAGTGTTGTATTCATCTTTGCTTATCTGGAAATAAGCCCTCTTGAATCCATAAGGACACAGGCTTGTACCTAGTGCAGGGCTAAGTAATTGTCTCACCAGCATAAGGATTTGCTTTTGTCTCTCCTTCTCCCCCCATGTGTGTCACCACTCTCCCCAAATCTGCCCCAGAGGGTTGGAGAAATCCCCAGAACAGTTTTAGGGGGCATGCGGGGGGGGGGGAAGAGGACAGTCCCGTTGCACAAGTGGAATTACTTACACTCATGGGAGGTTACTTAATACTGCACTGAATACATACCTTAGCTGCCATATGAATGTGCATAGCATTGCACTATAGAAGAGTCCATAAATAGATCCTGAGAGTCCCTTTCAGGTGCCCGCCCTTGCAGTGGTGGAATAGATGTTGGATTGTTTGGCATAAGACTACTGTATTCCACTTGATCGTTTATATGAAAATATGGACATCGAACGCTTCCTTCAAGTAGTATCTATAATGCTGTGTAATATGAACATTTCCTTCCCAATATATTAGCTCCCTAGACAAGTATCTGATTCCATCTTGGAGAGCGCTTCTTTCCTTTCACAGTTGCTCCCCACCGAACTTTCAGAAACGATACACTCCGCAATCATCTGACTCCTTCCTTGGAAGTCCTTCTGTCTTCTGTTTAGCTAATCTAGTGTCTGAAGCAACTTTTTTCATTTGGGGAACTGCTTGTAATAAGAAAACTGAGGCCTGGTTCACATTTAACCACTTGCACATAGGAGATGTCTCCCTGATCTGGTCTGGTCTGATGCCATTTGCAAGAATACCTGGATGGAGGTATATCATAAGAGCAGGTTAAAGCACATGGTTTCATGGCATGCCATCATCCATTTTGGTTATTGACGCTATAAAAATCAAGATTAAACTTCAGTTTGTTAGGCACTGTGAAGTTACACCATCTATAATTGTCTCTTTACATTGGGATGATATCCTTTTGTAACCAAGGTTATTAAGCCACTCTAGAGCTGAAGTTCTTCCAAAAGCTTTGCTGCATAATTTACAGCAGGGATGGGGAAGCTATGGCCCTCTAGATGTGGTTGGATTTCAGCTTCCATTAATAATAAAAATAAAAATAAATAATTCTATATCACCCTTCATCCAAAGATCACAGGGTGGTTTACAATATAAGAACCAATATAAATACATAACATTATTCCTGACCGTTGGTCGTGTTGACTGGCCCAATGGAAATTGGGAGTCTAACAATATTGGAAGTTGGAATCGAAGAGGTTCTCCAAATCTGATTTACTGCAGCACAAAACTCTAGGCCAAAAAACAAACAAGCAACAACCCTCAACAGCTTAACTGAGCTGAAAAGTGATTTCTCCCAAATTCGGTTTTATGTGGAGAGTCTTAATTTTATTCAATAGATGAAGGCTGGAAAGAGTTATATTACTGAAAACTGTATTTAGCCATCACGTATGAATAACTGAAAATTCTTTCATCGCAGAAACAGCTTTCTCTAAAACCTGACTGTTCTGCTGGCCAAATTTCTTGTTTCTCAAGGAGAAATTTAATTAACTTCAATGCCAAATCAGGAAGAGAATTTGGAAGGCAATTCCATGTCTCTTTTCAACTAAGTATATTTTTAGGGATTAGGGCAGAGGGATAATAATTGTGGTCAGCCAACCATCAGGGAGTGTGCAATAAATCAAGGCAGGTAAAAGTCTTCCCAAGGACACAGTGCTTCCAAATAATATATGTATAATATGTAATCTTTACACAGTGCCTTGTTGTATAACTGGGATGAAAGATACTTTGCTTTTTCTTGGAGAGGTGGCGGGCCACTGAAGAGGGAAATCTATTTCTAAAAGTGATGGATGTGGATCCTTATTTTACATTACTAAAAAGTGAAAAATTCCTTATTATTAGAAATGGGCCATCAGT